TCGTCCTCCATCTTCTGTACCCTTTGAAGGAGGAGGCGGATGACAGGGTCCCTGTCCGGTATCTCCTCCACAGTTTGATGCACCGATCGCTGCTGGGACCTAACAGGATTGACCTCAGAGAACTTCGTCGGGGTTGCTGAACGGTAGGACGATGACCGGTTTGCGGAAGGGACGTACTCTTGGTCAGACTCTGCCGTGGATTCCAGGACCGGTATCCTCCGTATCGGAGACTTCCTCCCCATGCTTCTCAGTCGGGGATCGTCCAGGCGGGCATTGATCCTGATCGGCGATTCCTGCCGTTCGGTGTGTCGTTCGGCTTCCCGTTCCAACAACCTATGGCGGCAATCGGAATAAACCTTCTTCGGCACGTGGGGCCTATTTTTTGGGGCCGGGACCACCAATTGTTTAGATGGCGCAGGCGCAGGCGTTGCCTTTGCTGCCCTCTTGCCCTTCTTCTGCCGGCGGGGGGTCTGTAGGCTTTCGGACGATCGATCTGTCGGCATGTTCTGCGTTTGCTGCTGGTTCAGCAGCAGTTGTGTTTCTTCCACTCTGGTCGAGAGGAGATTATTGTGTTCTTGCATCCTAGCCATGTCCTGCCGAAGGGACACGACTTGGGCTAAAAGCTCCGCGTTTTCGGCGGATTGGATCACAGGGGGATTAGTTGCCGGTGTGTAGGGGGCTGGCACAGGGCTAACCCCGCTTGGCATGCCGAACGGCATCCCCTCTCATGGTACGAACGTATTTTTTTCAGTGGTCCCCATATGTTCGGGATAAAGGGTCAATTTTATCGAGTTCCCACATACGGCGCCAAACTGTTGACGCCAAAAAGTGATTCTTTGACTTAGAGGGTCAACTTAGTAATTTATACCTTCGGTATCCTTGATGCCTCGGTAGTCTACGCGATCTGCAATACGAGCAAACGCACGGTAAGACCTAGGGCACCGGTGTGGTACCGGCCGAAGGATCTCCGATGCTTAAGTAAGTTCGGGAATAGAAAGTTCAACTGACAGATCAATAGGCTTGGATGCCGTAAGTTCTGATTACCTCTATTTTGGGATTGTTGGCCTCCTTTTATAGGTCTTGGGAGGTGTGCATCTTGTTGATTATTTCGATGTGGGACTGTGGGCGTCGCTTGGGAGCGCTCCATGTGTCCCAGGAGAGGGCGTTGCCCTAATGGAGAGATCGGTAGGTAGGGTGCCGAGGGCGCGTCTGGCCAAGCCCAGTTTCCTCCACGTGTCTTGCCCTTATTGGCTGTTTATTTCGGGTGTAAACAGCCGGAGTTGCCTCAACAACTCCAGATATGCTCTCACGCAGCGTTATTGTCCAAATCAGAAGGAAGCAATTGGTTGGTATAGCAATTGTATGCTACGCTACTCAAACCGCTCCATGTACGGCGTCATGGAAACTAAGCCTTCTTTCGACATCCGCAACCCACAAAACGTATCGTCGTCTGGCGTGGATGGATTCAACCAAGAGCTGAGGAAGTTACTGGAGAGCGTAAGAAGAAAAGCTGCAGCAGGCGGTTCTCTTCGCAAGTTTGCGTACGGGAACGCAACCGCTCCAACTTTCCAAACAATATTTGCTATTGCGCAGTGCACGCCAGAATTATCAGAGCAAGCCTGCAGTGACAGCTTGGTTGGTGCTTTTGGAGAAATCCCCCAATGTTGCATTGAAAAAGTAGGAGGGAGAGTTTCTAGACCCAGCTGTAACTTCAGATTCGAGGTTTACCGCTTCATTGAGCCTAAAACGATTCTGCAACTGCCATCGCCGCCGCCAATATTATTTCCTCCTCCGCCATCAACCAATATTACCATAGTTTCAGGAGGTACGTTTATGTTCATTCCGTTATTTCGATATATAGATCGCTTAATATATCATCCGCAAGTATTATATTTGTTCACTTTTTTGACCTAAATTGGTACCCATAATAGCTGGGCTTTAATGACTCACGTGAGCCCATGTGTTTGTAGTCCCTTTTTTTTTTTTTTTTTAACTATTGGGGGGTAGGGATTTCTTACACGCACAGAACAATGATGTCGTGGGGATTCTGTCAAACAAAGTAGGGTAAATATTTAGTTATGCTCAGATACGCTCATATTATTATTCTTCTCCAATATGGAGGTATTTATACAAGTATAAAGATGTGTTAACCCCAAATAAAATAGGAAATATATCTAAATTACAATAGGAAGTAAATCTCTATTACAATAGGACTAAATAATAATTGGTAAGTAACCAAAATTCTAATGAAATAATGAACCAAAATCCTAACTAAGTAAGGACTCGCCAACACTCCCCCTCAAGTTGGGCAAAGATATTTTGCACGCCCAACTTGACAAGCGAGTCACAGAACTCCATACTTGAGAAGCACCAATTGTAGAGAAGGTCTTTTCATCAACCACGAGTGAAACAAGTGACAAACTAAAGCAAAGTTCGCAGCGAAAACACAAGAGCAAACCCTAAAAAATAGGGCACATAGCAGAACACAGAAACCCTGTGAGCACGGCAGCAGATAAGGCAGAACACAGAAGCCCTGTGAGCACGGCAATAGGTAAGGCAAAACACAGAAACCCTGTGAGCACGACAATAGATAAGGCAGAACACAGAAGCCCTGTGAACACGGCAAAAGCAAAGGCAACCAAACCCTAAAAATAGGGTAAGGCAAGGTAAGA